GCTGGAGCGCTTCGTGCCGCTTAACCCGGGCTTCTTGACGTCCTTGGCACCCGTCGGCGGCTTCCATACTGCCTCGACACACCCCGACTATTAATGATGCCTGGTAGATCCTAAGTCAAAGTGTTCAACCTTCTGCGCTTGAGGTCTTCCGACCCGTGAACTACTGGTGTGTTCTCGGTCTAGGGGTCGGCACGAATAACGAATACATTCGCATTCGTTACGAATATTCGTAACGAATATTCGCATTCGCAGAAATTTTGCATTACGAATGCGAATGCGAATAATTTTTCCATTATTCGTCGAATATTCGTAATTCTAGTCACGTGGCAGGCATATGACTCTCAAAGACTATGTTCAGTGACCTCCAACTGAGTCTACGTATCTAGTTTAGGGAATCTCTGACTGTCCGCTAAAATCATCGTTTAATGAAGCCCCTTAAACTCACTCGGTATCCTGCGAGGCAAGTTCTAGCCGGCTCTATCTGGACTGTTGCTTGCTCTCCTCAGAGAGATATATATCTCTTAACAGAGTGAGCTTTCTCATGGTTCCTCCATTCAAGGAATGCCGTCGCAAGCCGATCAGATCTCTGCCACGGCTAAACAACCTCTCTACCGCTACTTCGGCTGCTGGAATAGCAAGATAGTCCCTTGCTGCAGCTGCCATCCGCGGGTACTCATCCTTGTGCATATTCCACCAAGAAAATAGCCAGTCCTCCTGTTTCGTGACGGATTCATCGACTGTCACCACACCCTCCTTGAAATAATGATCTATATCTGACCGTTGGAGTACCTGAGGTTGCAGTTTCTGCAAAACACGAGCCTCGAGGTTCTGTCGCATGGTACCCTGGTCCATTTTTGTGGCTGGCAAATCTGGTGACTGCTTGGACGGGTATTGCGTGTGTAAGGTCTCCTTGACTGTCTGGATAATCTTTGGCGCTGTTACTTGTCCAAGCTCCTTTTCCAGTAACAGTGTCTTGAAACGCGGATCAAGAATAAGCGCTATGTAATATGCATCTTGAGAGTCCATAAGCTCATAATATTTCTTGTACTTCTTCATGCCTGCAGATATAGCGGCGGCTATATCTGAACTGATACCTGAAAATTCGCCTTGTGCAGAGGCTGCATCTTCAAGCATGTCATGCAATTCATAGTAGATTGGAATCGCTAGACTGATTTGGGATTGTCGCCGAGAAACGAGCAAGGTGAACTCATCAAACTTGGAGAGAATCAGGTCAAGCTGTTGTAACTGAGACCAGTCTTCAGAGGAAAATGGTGGGAACTGGCTCTGATGTTCTATCCACTTCTTGATCTGTGGCCTGGCATGGAAGGCGTCTTGGATCATACGGTATGTGGAGTTCCAGCGTGTTTTAACATTATATTTAATAAACTTGTCCTTCAACCCATTTGATTGGCATACCACTTTCCATTGCTGTCGTCGCTGGGGTGTTCTGGATATCCAGAGTGCCATAATCCGAAGCCGAGCCAGTGCAGAGTGTTGTCCTATTTTCTGGTTTTCCTGTAATAGGTCACAGGCTTCTGCGGCGGATCTATGGTCTCCAGATTTCATTGCCGAGAGAATATCACTCACGATAAGATTGAGAACATGAGCTAGACAACGGATATAGCTATCAATGCCCAGAAATCTTAGACGTCCACTGCATGAGGGGTCGAAGCTATCTGAAGTATATTTCTCCGCAAGGTTAAAATAGAGTTCAGATGCTAATGTTTCATTGTTCGAGGCATTATCGGCGGTGATGGTAAGTAACTTGTCCTCCAGTTGAAGCTCAGAAAGCATACTCTGAAGCAGTTCTGCCATATTCTCTCCACTGTGTGACCCAGAAATCTCACGAAACTCCAGGACTCGTTCCTGATATTCAAAGTTTGGGGTTAACCAGTGGCCAATAACTCCTAATATGGACTTATGATTCTTGCTGGTCCACACATCTAGAGAAAGAGCAATTGTTGAGCAAGTTCTCGCAAGTTCATCAATTAGTTGGGTACGACACTGGTCGAATTCCGAGTCAATGCGTCGAGCAATAGTGCGAGAGGAACTAAATGGAAGCGGAGCATCTGGCAAGTCCATAAAGATCTGTTGAAATGCAGGAGACTCAATGGCTGTGAAAGCTATGTCATCTCTCACAATCCACCGAAGAAGGTTCCTCTCCAAGAGGTCCCTCACGTCCTGTTCAATTTTGTGTCGGAATATAGAAGCAATAGATAGTTGCTTTGCTATACTGGAATCCTTATCTTGATCTCCCTCCCTTATTTTTTCGCCAAGATTATGTTTGGCTAGATGAGCCTTCATGTTGGTCGTAGAAGTTGCTCTTGCAGAGTCTGTGGTTTTCCAACCACACTGTGTACATTGGATTTCTCGGTCCTCTAGTAGCCGTCTGCTCCGCTTAGGCCGCCATAGTTTTCCTGGAAGTGGTTTGACATCGAATTGACTCCAGAGCCATTGATTCTGTGGCTTAATGCCGGATTTGCTGACCGATTTGTAAGACTGGAGAGCCTCAGAGAGGCTTCTAGTGGAGTTCCCTTGCTGATGGGATTCTGATGGAGTAGGCAAATTCAGATAAACTTGGCTAGCAGACTCTTCGGGACCCACTGATTCAGAGCGATCCGATGGTGGATTGAGTCGTGGTTTCTTTATGGCCCGATCTTCAACGTCTGCCTCCTCGTCGCTTCCACCGTTCAAAACATGGTAGTCGATTCTCTGAGAGCGTTGCGGACGCGATGGCACATTGCTAGATAAGTAGCTGGAGCCGCCGCTTTGGGGGGCATCAGATTCATTGTCAGACATCTTAAAGAGCCTAGTCCACCATATGCAGACATAGAAAGTATTAGTTCTCCTGTCGCGTCGCGACAAAGTAAACAAAATGAGTGGCGATGCCTCTCATTGGACGTTATGATTACTAATAATGTCTTGGCAAATTTACGAATATATTCGACGAATATCGGCCACTGCGAATACGAATATTCGTAGAGATTTGCAAATTACGAATGCGAATGCGAATATCTCAAAATCCTACGGATTTGTATTCGTGCCGACCCCTATCTCGGTCAAGGAAGGCAGATTCAGACTCACAAGGGGAGGGAATGGTTAATGGACTNGGAGCTCTTATGCAAGCAAAATTCAACAACAAAGTAAAGTGGGCCGCTTAACTAGCATCATTGCGTTGGCCACCTGGCGCACGAGAATCTTGAAAATGGAGACGCTCTCGCCTTCATCAAGCTTATTCTGGCCGTACTGCTGAAGGCGACGGGCGGCCTCCTCTTTGGTCAACCCTTCGTCAATGTCCGTGCCAATCTCTTTCAGGACGACTTCAAAGGAGAGGCAATAGGCAGGTTGGCTCAGCTCCGCATGGCCAGGGCGTACTCCGCCCGGCCCTGCGGTTTTCTCTTTTGCCATTGCCTCAAGCGAATCGTTTAATAGCTCCTTCAGTGGCAACTCAAGGAAACAATGCTCTTAAGGGGGAATGAAAGAATCAGCTTGGTGAAGGAAGGATGACCAAAAGATTTAGCAACACAATGGCGCGCGCCCAACTTCTTAAGACCCAGGAAAGTGCTTCCGTGAAATCTCTGTCCCGTGTGCGCAATGTGAAATGGAGAATCATTGATAGCAGCTATTGGTGAAAAAGCTGAAAATAGCTTGGCGCCCAGAGCGATGGCTGCATCCAGAGGTTGGGCTGGCCAAGGAAGAAACTCGACAACCAACCATAGTGGATGACAGTGGGCAAACTGCCTATGAAGAGGGTCCGGGGTACGGAGACCTTGGGTGCACTGGCGCTACGAAGATTTCGACTTTTCCCCGCCAAGCGTTGAAGCTCCAAGTGTGGGGGCAGTGCCGTGCGAGGACGAATCCAGAAGTCTCCTAGGCTGCTGCATGGGCAAAGGAATGACACACTCACCAGAAATTAGGCATCAAACCAGTGTACCCATCCAAGAGTTGTGAAAATAGAGATTAAATTACTATGATGTAATTTGGGGATTTCAATTGGGCGAAAACAAAAATAAAAATATAGTACTCTCCACACTTAGGCCCGACAGTGGGCTTAACCAAGGTTACGGGGCCCTCAAGACTGACCGAGTCTGACCGAGGAGGCTTTATCTACGAACTTAGAAACTTTGAGCGAGGATCTCGATCATTTAGTTGCCTCGCCTCGATCCGGTTTATAATGGCCATATTCCTGGAGACGCCGACTGAATTCCTTCGGGTCAAGCTTTCCTCTTGCGCAAGCCGAGCTCCTCTATCAGACCTACGTAAGTCAGCAAGCGAGCTAGCTGGCCGAGTGAGCACGCACAAGCTCCTGGTTAGGGGGAAATGCTATGCTTCTCAACTTGCATTATTATTCGTTTTCGATGTGATTACCTTCCCAGAGATTGCTAATTGACGAGTTCAGCGTTGCTGGGCTCGGAGAACAGAGAGAAGGAGCTCTATTAGTATCAAGCTCTGACACAGAATGAAATATTTGCACAAAAACCAGACTGCCGAAAGCGGGCTGGGAGATTATTGCTTTCAGAATCGCCATTCAAACCCTACGTAATGGGAAGCCAAGCTTATAGCCTTGGCGCCAAGATTATGAGCCAGATCTGGGAATTCTGCCCAACACAATGGCAGTGATTGCCACTTGCTGTGTCTCGGCGATATGCTCGAAATTTTGTCCGAACGGGTCAATGCAGCCAATGTGATAGTCGCGGAGACTGGAACGCCCCTCATAAGGTTTTCTGTGTTAATACCGTCAGTAAGACCAAAAGCACCCCACCGAACCGCGCTTTTTTCTTTTAGCATGGAAAGTGATTAAAAGAAATTAGATGCGAGGAGTTTGCGTGAAATGTCCGATTATTTAGCTCTCACTTTTGACTCTTGAAGACAATCAACGAAACAAGTCTGAATGCTTTTGGAAAATTGCACGCACGAAAGTGTAGCCGAAGCGCTCTCTCCATGTCTCTGGTTCCCAACTTGCTTGCGTGCCGTCTATTGGAAGTAATAGCCTCTCATCTTCCCCGTGTAATAGAGTTCTAAGGTCAATAGAGTCATTACATAGTTCATGCGCTACTTCTCGCGCTCAAAACTGCCCTGATGATTGTGCTTGTTTGGGCTTTTCACTTGAAGCCAGATCTCGCTATGTTTAGTTGATCTTGCTAGACAACCCCTTTGAAGACGTGCATATAGGTAGGTGCTGTCAAAATTAGATCTTGCCACATTGTCATGCGCTACCAGTTACTGCAAGATTTGAAGACAATTGACTCATCTCATATTATGCTTTGTTGGATGCCTAGTTCAGAGATCTAACATGTGAGCTATGGAAGATATTACTTGCGCTGAAGGTGACCGAATCGCAGAATGGCTGAACATGAAGAAACCTCTGGTTGACAAAACGTAAAGAGACCTTCCCAACAGCAGTACATACAGAATAAGCCTAGGCCTTAACCAGGAAGTCCTCCATTGGTGGTAGCTTGACAACAATGCACCTCCTGAAGCCACTGGGAACGGAGAGTTTCCGCCGCTCCTGGTCGATGCGCGGGAGTGATACTCAGCATGGAATGTAGGATCGCGCAGCTCCGTTCCTGTGAGAAAAAAAAATTAGCCATCTAAACGACGAAAGGAAAGTGATAACCTGACATGGGTTATGTCTTTGATGAGGAAATACTGGCTTCCAGCTTTGCAGTCTTCAGTATAGTCTCGAAAGCATTCATCCTTGACTGTTGCCGACTTCCAAGGATTCCTCCCAGCTCTCATAGCTATGTAAACAATAGCGGCAGCCCAGATGTCGGCATATCTGGGATCAAATGGTTGCGCAAGATACTGCTCCGGGGATACATATGGTACTGAGCCACAGCGCCTGGTAGACATATGAACCTGATCTTCCCAGGCAAGACGAAAGCACTCTGCATGGCCAAAATCAGAAATCCTGAGGCGGCCATAGTTGGTAAGTAGAAGATTTTCCGGCTTCAAATCACGATGAGCGATCCCCATCTCGTGGAGATAGAGAATCCCGCACAACAGCTGTTTCAGGAAACAATCTGCCTCATCTTCCCATAGTTGACGTGAAGACATAATCAGTGCATGTAAATCTCCACCTGAGCAATACTCCATACACACACAGAGACTGCCGTAACCCAAGGGGAGGATCTCGAAGGCTTCGATGATATTTTGATGATGTAGGGAGGAAGTGATCGAGAATTCCGAGGTCGCACGTCTGTAATAATCAGACTCGGTCTGAGCTGATGCGTGGCGGAAAATCTTTAGAGCATAATAACGATCGAGTTGGGGACCCCAGTTGCGCACTTTATGTGATATTAATACTAGTGCATGAGAGCCTTACCCGGCTACCATTTTGATTTCCCCATATCTTTGGGTAATGGCTTCCATATTGCGATTCTCGATGGGCCAACCTGCCAAATTGGTCTCTTCCCGTTGTTTTCCTTCCATCCACTGCGACTTAAGGCTATTGAATGGCTTGTTTTTGCCTGAAAGCTCTTCTCTGTCGTTGCTTCTCCAAAAATGTCTTCTCGGCCTTGGCGGGATCAGATAATGTTCATGCCCACCACTAGTCCGGACAAATCTATCCTTTTTGGGTGTATTATAGTTCCCAATGCCAGTGGACGAAAACTTGCCTCGGTGCGAGGGTACATTATCCTGCAAGGTTAGGCCCTCTGTGGAGAGTAAGCGATGACTCTCCTCGTCGAGGTTGATATCTCCCGCACGTGTTAGAGAAGCCGAGCGTTTGCGCAGGCGCTGCAACAATGGCAGAAAGCAGTGAGGCATCCCTGACCGATGTATATCATCTGGATAAAACTGGGTTATGATGGAGAGAGTCTGTCCTTGAAGCCAATTTGTTATTGAATTTAACGTGCGAATCTTCACTGTTCAGGACAAAGCCTTGGAATAAAACTAAGCGGGGAGTGCCCTCGTTAAATCAGCACATATTAAATACTGCCAAGAAACGAGGCAGCTTGGCGTGTGCCGAGGGAGGTCAGAAAATGGCGAAGGCAAACAATTGGGAATATTAGAAGCCTCTGTCCAATGGAAATCGACCGAAGGCATTTGAGAGGAAATGCGTGCTATCAGGTCAAAGAAGCTGCAGCTTTCCGAGGCAAATACTTGAAAGACAGGCCGCTGATGATGAGGACATATGAGAAGATTCGTGTCATCGTCCTCATATAATGGCATGTGAAACGTTTGCACAAACTCCATTGGTCCCGCATTTTGACAATATGGCTGGGTGTGGGCTGTATCGTGTGAGGCAACCACTCATGACGCAAAGTCTGCGTTCCGGCCCAATTTCGGCGGTACCCTTGGCGCCAAGGCGATGCAATTGCTGCCTGCGTGCTCACAGGGAGGTTCCGAAAAGTCACGACAAGAGCCTTAGTTTCAGCTGAACACAGACACTCTCTGGACTCAACAGACCTAGATGCAATGGCACGTCAAGCAGGACATTTCCAAGGCTAAGCCATTTCCCCAGCTTGCCCTAGCCTAAGGATGGTTGATGTAGAGGTTCACATGCCTCCAGAGGCTTCGGTATGTCCCCGTAGCAAGGAAATGCCTCATCAGAATTCTCCTTTTTAGCTCCAAGCGGTTCGCGAGAGGAAGCATCGCTGCTGCTTGCACATAGGGGTCACCCGTTGACGCCCAAATGTGCCAGTCCACTCTTGGCGCCAAGTCCGGTAAAGCTGCCTCTCCCAATTATGGTTGGGCCGGTGGCAATAGCTGAAGACGAAAATCAGATTGCGTCCGCAAGGTCGCGTAACTGGCACGCGCGCAAGGCAACGCAATGCCTATGTGGTGGCCTCCTCTGCCTTACTGCAACCGCAGAGTCCGTCGGTAAAAAATAGCCATCGCAAATACGTTTGTGCTTGCCACATGTGTCGCTCCTCAGCTCGAGCTCCCGCTGTCACACCATCTGGGTCCATTTTCCCTCTCCATGATTTCGTCCCTTCTAATTCCACTCTTCCCTCGCCTCTGCCTTGTCTTCAATACATCGGATTGCCCGTTTTTTGCTATTGTTCTACCACCATGACCAGAGACTAATTTCGGTTTACATATTTGGTGACTCGCCTCGTTTGGGCAGCTGATCGGCGCTCGCCGCGTGGCTGATCTTCATACCTGGATTATCTGCAAAATAATTTGGACTGATCCCGATCTGTGCCCTCATCGCGCCGCTCTCTTCGAACAGCTCACGTATTCTCATCCCTCCTTGGTCACACGCCGGTACAGCCATCGCCCATCCCGGAATGCTGCCCGCTATCCCCCGCTCGGCCCACAAGTTGAAGTCCCGCATTCCGTACCTGAAGGACTTACAACTGAACTTCATCCTCATTCACTATGTTTATATCATATCGGCTATTCTGATCACCTCCAGTATCATCTATCCCGGAAGTGATCTGAAGTATATCGATGCACTCTTCTTCTCTGCGGGCGCTGCCACGCAAAGTGGCCTGAATACAGTCGACTTCAACCTACTCCATACGTACCAGCAGGTCATCCTCTACTGGGTTACTATGCTTACTACCCCCATTTTCATTCATACAACTGTTGTCTTCATCCGTCTTTACTGGTTCGAGAAACGCTTCCAACACGTCGTCCGCGACGCTCGGGCGCTCCGCAGTATCAGGTCTCGACTTCGGACAACCAGCGAGAACGAGCATCTGCACTCTCACGGTCAGGGAGGATCCGGAATCAATGGACGTCTATAGTGGTGTTACACGCTACCCACCAAGGCCGACAGGGAGGCGTATCAGGAGACCTCTTCAAGTCGCCAGAGAGCGACTCGGATTCTATTTCGCCCACAACTAATGCTACCAGAGCGCCCCACCTAGAGGGAAGCAAGGCCCACCTGAACACTACCGTCAATCATGATTTCGGCAGCCTACGCATTCTCAGCTTAATCCTGAGCATCATATTGCATTTCTCGAAAATCAACGAAAGAACAGGGGTGCCTTGCGTATTCCAAGTCCCAGAGATTACGACCGCGGCGATATACCGGAAGTAGTCGCCGATGATGACAGCGACGGGAGTAAGCTTACTATAACTGGATCTGCTCAATCCGAACCACCAAGCTTTTGTGAGCATAGATCAAGACAACACCCCCCAATGGAGTCGTCCGCGCACTACGATCAATGACCCAGATACATTGTGGACGAGCACGCGAAATTCAATTCCTTCACCTACAGTCTGGGAGACAAACGAAGACGGTGACCCATCTCCGCTTGCTCAGCCACTCACCCGCAAGCCAACTTTCACTGGGATTATCCGGTCTCTAACGCAGGAACAGGGTCGGCCCACGCTTCCATATCTCAGCTGGGATGCGACAGTTGGACGCAACTCAAATTTCATCGATCTCACGGAAGAGCAGCGAAATGAGCTTGGAGGCATTGAATATCGGTCTTTGAAAACGCTAGCAGTCGTATTATGTCTTGTTTCATATCTTCGGAATCATTTGTCTGGCACCTTGGATCATGGAAACCAACTGGGGGGAAGTTGTGAAAGAGGCCGGACATGGCCGCCCATGGTGGGCAATATTCATGGCCGGGTCAGCATTTAACGATCTTGGATTTTCTATCACCCCTGACTCGATGATCGCATTCCAAACCGCAATCTTTCCACTCCTGCTCATGACGTTTCTCATCATAATCGGCAATACAGTGTTCCCTTGCATGCTTCGCCTCATCATCTGGGCCCTGTCAAAGGTCGTCTCGAACAAACTCCCCTTTGAGAGGAGCTAAATTTTCCTTTGGATCATCCTCGGCGGTGTTTCACGCTTCTATTTCCACGCAATGCAACTTGGTGGCTTTTCGCGATTCTCGTATTATTGAACGGCATTGATCTGATATTCTTCATTATCCTGGATGTACGTGTCCTATCTCGTCATTTCTATCCGCACTAACATGTCTTAGCTAAATGACCCAACTGTCACCAGATTATCAACACGAGTCAAGATTGTAGCCGGACTGTTCCCAAGCTTCCTGCACTCGAACCGCCGGATTTTCGGCTGTCTCGCTCTCAGAGTTACACCCTGCCGTCCAGGTTTCATATATGATCATGATGTATATCTCCGTTTTTCCCATTGCCATCTCGATGCGACGGACCAATGTCTACGAAGAGAAAAGCTTGGGAGTCTACGGCATCGATGAGGATACCAACGATGAAAACAAGACGGTGCCAAGCTACATTGGTACTCACTTACGGAAACAGCTGAGCTTCGATCTTTGGCATGCCTTTTTGGGCCTCGTTATCATCACCATCGTGGAAGGCGACCGTTTAGAGGATACGAGCGACTATGCTTTCCAAATCTGGGCTGTGCTTTTCGAGGTTGTCTCTGCTACGGTACCGTTGGCCTTTCGCTTGGCTACCCTGGAGTAAATACCTCATTTGTCAGTCAGTTCAAGGTGATATCCGTACTCGTGATTATCGCCATGCAAATTCGTGGACGCCACCGTGGTCTGCCGTACAGCTTAGACCGCGCCATCTTACTCCCGTCTGAGTCGCTAAACCAGGAAGAAATTGTGGATACTGAGCATCGCATGCGGCGACGCATATCCAACCTTAGCCAGACTCCTGCTATGGGACATCACCAATCACAGCCTTCCTCGAGAAACGCTGTAACTTCTGTGATGGAAGGGAGAGAATGCGTTTCGGGGCTCAACTCTACTATTAATCCGGTCATCCGGCGCCAGTCCACCCCAGGTCGCAAATGTCTCAGCGATAAGGTAGCTTAATTTATACCCAGAGGCTGTCGTTACATTTTCACCTGCCATGTATAGCTTCCCATGTTCAATGCCTTGGGACTGCCTTTGCGGTATCTTGTCTGGCCATTGATATTGTTCGAAAATGTCGACTCTCTACGTGTCAGAAAGACGAAGATGTATTGGCCTGAACCCTGAAGCACTAGCGCCTTCAGCGCAGCGCATATGAATCTTTATTGGGTATCTAACATGTGACGCCCCATATCAGCGTTTCAGCGCCTAGAAGAAAGGCCTGGAAGATCAGATGGCCATCAATGAACGCTGGCTTGGGTGGCATTCGAAAAGAAACCTGAGCAAGGACCTCTGTGATGTGCATGGTACAGCCTGGTGCAGTGCTATACTCTTCTGATCTTGCTAGCAAGACAACCTTGGCTTTTTAGTTTAGTGGACTATTCTGTTATTAAAAGTCTCGAAATTTGAAGGGAAGGGTCTCAAGTGGACGTCGGGCCTGTGCTATGTCGGACAGCTCGTGTCTAGGGCCCCACATAGGATAAGGCTGACCAAAGATGTCGCCCACTTTCTGAGAACTCTTTTCCTTCTCTTCGAAATTCTTTCTTCCAGACACTTTCGCCTTACCAAACGAACTCGGACGATTTTTAGAGGGGTGACATAGGCTTGTTGCAATTTAGATGCAGATTCTTAATTCTTTCTCTTCTGTAACCTGAGAGTTCATATGCAGGATAGACTCGTACGGAATAAATTCCGTACACGAAGATCTTCTATACTAGCATCGATTTACAACAAAGCTCACTTGATCATCCCGCGATCACGTAGATCGCCCTGCAGGAATCTTGCCACCCTTGCCCCAAACCCCACCTTCTTAAAGGACTCGGGGATATTTCGGAAACAGCTCTGGAATGTTGAAAAAAGATCGTGTGTGACTTAAGAAGTGGGTGTCTACAATACCTCCGTTTGTCTATGCCAAGGCTATGGAAAGGTGCGATTATCTCAAGGTCCAAACCACGCGAAACTGAATGATCGCCCGATCATTGCGCGATCAGATGAGTCATCTTAAGATGAGCAGCTTCCTTTGCTTTACGGGTTTAGGAGGGCTAACCCTCCTTTAGAGCTCTCAATATTCGAGAGGACCTAAGAAGGAAGGAAGTAGTCCCCACGGCTGAGTATATCACGCCAGAGCACAGGAGAGCACTGTCGTGCAAGATTCATTCAGATAATTTGGCCTTTTTAGGACAGAATATACATGTTCCCTCAACCCACTCTTTAATTAGATTCCAGGAAGATATCCTCCATAGCTACAACGATTGGACAAGGGTAGCATTCATCCCGTTACGTCAGTGAGGTTATCGAGTGAACTACCAAACCTCAAGTACCACGTACTAATCTTGATAACGTCCTAAGCCATCTTCCTTCAGTGGAAGAATCAAAGATATAGATCTCACCAGTCTTTCTAATCCGGATAGCAACCAGTGTATCAGCCTTGCATTCCAGGCTATATTCTGCCGCTCTCTTGAAGATACTATAGAAACCTTCCTGTTTATAGGAGTACTTAGTAGCCACATGCTCTAGAAGCGTGGAGCTTGTTTCTGGACTCCGGACATACATATATTTTATAGTCGTCTAACAATGCGCGATTTCTAGGCTTCAGATCACGTGCGACTCAAATAGTCCGCAAGCAAAGCGAGCCCGAACTCTTTGTCCAGTAGTAGGAGGACCTGAGTGGCTTTCTCAATCCTCCCTAGCCCCTCAATTTGCTGAGCTCACGCCGCGCCTTGATAGCGTGGCGTACTCAAAACGAATGTATTCTTGTTCATTTCATACTTTAATAACACTTCAGATTCGAGCTACGCTTGCACAGCGCGGGGATCTGGCTGATATCGTGGGTGTCAAGTCAAGGTAGACTTTTGGATGGTCGTATTCTCGGTCGCATGCTGAAATTAGTTGCGCAGCCTTTGTCTGCTGAACCGGACTGTGTTGAGCGGACTGCGACCGGGTCTGGGTGGGTCAGGCAGCTTCAGCCAGTGGATGTAGTGCGTACTGGAGACAAGTGTTCAGCACTCAATGTGCTGCCATTAGTGGACATTTTCCTGCTGACTGTCGACGCTAATCTAGGTGCTCAACTCTTTACTTTGCTTCTCAGCCTTGGCAAGCTACCTTAGACCCTTATCTTTGAGAAGGCCCCGGTTCCTGGACATGCGCCCCTGATGGTTGTACATAATATGCCATAAAACTATGTTCATGTGTTGAACTTGCTTCTAATCTCGGTTGTTATCTGAGCTTTCTAATGTTCAGCCACCAAAGGCCAGATCAAGATCGGGTTGTGCGCGGATGCCCCAATTCAATGAGGGGATGGCTGTCTGCGTTCCGCGGACGAATGTGGGAACTTCAATATCGACTCGGCCGCGGTGGGCGGCATATGCAGCAGGGAAGAGCGTTGTGGTAATAAGGCTGCTGAGTGCTTCCCGGTTTCGAATCTCGAGGATCTGGAGGCCATATTATTAAAGTGGGTCTTCGAGCGACTGTTAGACCTACCGCATGAATTCGAGTTAAGTGTTTTGTGAGATTCTGATACGAATAGGAGAGATATCAGCGGTTTCTCCGCTATTTCCTCAGCCACTGTGGCGTTATTGGCTGATACATACCGAGGCATACTTGTGGCTCACAAGGTGGATTACCCGAACGACGGAAACACGTGCCAAAGCTAGGGCGGGGGTAAACCACCAGCAATGCAGGATGCGGCATCCGCGACTGTTCCCCCAAGTTGTTTGATCCTCACACATCATTGTTGCTACACAAGCGACAAGTGCAACGGCAAATGCAAAACTGCGACACAAACGCATCATATTGTTGATATTTATGTCAGAATCTTCCTTTCAGAACATTAAAAACTGGCTGGACCAGCTACCAGGCGCTTCTGAGACCCCCCGACTCCCGCTACCGCCCGTTGTCCACGATAAGCGGCCACAGTCAGAAGAGGCGAGCGTCAAGGGCAACAGCACGAGATTCAAGCCCTTCCAAGCGACCTAGAATTGCGGATGATCGGACGATAACATCAGAGATCTCGCTTCGTTCTAGGACCACTACGTCGAAGCAGGTCAGCCCAACTAGAGATGTTCTGAATCAGCTCCGCCTCGCGGATCCTCCCGTCGTCTGCTGGCCACTAACGGTAAGCCTGAGGCCGGAATCTGCAATCGCCCTAAGGAAGCGATTGACAGACGGATTTGGGCGTAAAATAATTTCCCGAGGGCTTGAAGTATGTTGTTTTCGTCATTTTGAAGGCATCGTGGTGACTAATGGCGTATAGTCGCGCATCCGTGCCTTCGACTCCCTTTCCGCCGATGAGATACCCGAAATAGCGTACTATCATTCAAGTACCCTGTCCGATGCCGCCCTTGATGACCTTTGGGCGGAGCTGAAAATGATATGTTATGATGCGAGACAGTGCGATATCTACGGGAAAGATAAGAACGCATGGTTTCTGGATGTGGTGCAGCCTATTTTGACTTCTTTAATCCAAGGGTGTCCAAGGGTGTCAGCTGCTGCAACTAATCACGCAGCATTGGGTGTGTCCTGCATGACCGGACCTGAGGGTCTAGGCCCCGCCCTCTGACTCGGCTTCGGCGTCCGAAAGTGAATAACTCACCAACTAGTCATATTATAGACCAATTCACATCGCACAGGAGGAAACCAACAACCTTATGGTCGCTACCAAATTAGCTAGCTGAATAGATCAAGGCATCAGGGGGCCAATAGTATCAAAGTTCGAAGTAAGGCCACGGCCAAGAAATGGCTGTTGGAATATCCCACACCAAGCTTCGGCCGAGTACCATAAGCCTTGGAACGTTGCTGTAAGTGGCTCATAATGATCAAGCTTGCCATCCCATCCACTATGGGCATTGTGGGACGAAGGTAGACAAGGGTCGCTGCCACTCAGACACTGGTATAGTGTTACTGAAGCTTTTTGCTCCTATCACAGTCGGTTTATCTGTGCAACCGCCCGCATCGTGCTCGGCGAATTACATTCTGCGTAGGTTATAATTTTATGGCCTCGCTACTAAAAAAGAGTTCCTGGCGACATGAACACCATTTACAGCAAGAGAATCAGGATCCGGATCGGGATGGTCACACATGCTCTCTGGTTATTACGTGTTATCTTAACAACCAGCTATGACTGGTTCCAGCAATTCATGCTTCACGGCTCTAGGTTGACTTCAAGTGAGCTTCTACTTTAGTTTCCACCTTCCGTTTTTCAGAGTGGAGTGTTGTCTTGGCACCCATCATATCCGCCCAATTATCGTGAAGACCTGAATACATACTTTTGAATGCATGTTATTCCCCGTTCCATTATAGGACAGCTGCTTCAAGTGATGATGTCATTAGCCTTTGAAACCAATCGGCCAAATGCATACCATGAGTGACTTAACATCCTGTACTCCCCTTCTTCATAAGCGACTTCTTACAAGAATTGCGTGCAGCAACCGCAGCAAACAGCTTCAATAATCATTACCTCTATCGACTTGATACAAAATAATGGCCGAAGCTTGTGCGTGTTCAACACGCAATTCCGACACGACTGAGGCATGGATTGTGGGAAATGGAATTCCTGCCCTTGCATCAGCAATCTACCTTGTCCAGCATGCAAAACTGCCACCCTCTCATGTGCATATCCTGGATCCTCACAAGTCGCTGTCCAGTGCCCTGCACCAGAGAGGAAACTCTTCAACCGGCTATGATCAATTTGCGGCTTGCCTCCCAGT